AAGATAACATAACGGAGCTCATTCGTCTTCAGGGAATGACATCACGAGACACCTAGATCGTCAGGGTACCACATGTACTACACCCGGGTTGTATCTAGGGCAAGATAACATAACGGAGCACATTCGATTTCAGGGAATCACGTCACGAGACCCCTAGATCGTCAGGGTACCACATGTACTACACCCGAGTTGTATCTAGGGCAAGATAACATAACGGAGCTCATTCGTCTTCAGGGAATGACATCACGAGACACCTAGATCGTCAGGGTACCACATGTACTACACCCGGGTTGTATCTAGGGCAAGATAACATAACGGAGCACATTCGATTTCAGGGAATCACGTCACGAGACACCTAGATCGTCAGGGTACCACATGTACTACACCCGAGCTGTATCTAGGGCAAGATAACATAACGGAGCTCATTCGTCTTCAGGGAATGACATCACGAGACACCTAGATCGTCAGGGTACCACATGTACTACACCCGAGCTGTATCTAGGGCAAGATAACATAACGGAGCTCATTCGTCTTCAGGGAATGACATCACGAGACACCTAGATCGTCAGGGTACCACATGTACTACACCCGAGTTGTATCTAGGGCAAGATAACATAACGGAGCTCATTCGTCTTCAGGGAATGACATCACGAGACACCTAGATCGTCAGGGTACCACATGTACTACCCGGGTTGTATCTAGGGCAAGATAACATAACGGAGCACATTCGATTTCAGGGAATCACGTCACGAGACACCTAGATCGTCAGGGTACCACATGTACTACACCCGGAGTTGTATCTAGGGCAAGATAACATAACGGAGCTCATTCGTCTTCAGGGAATGACATCACGAGACACCTAGATCGTCAGGGTACCACATGTACTACACCCGAGTTGTATCTAGGGCAAGATAACATAACGGAGCACATTCGTCTTCAGGGAATCACGTCACGAGACACCTAGATCGTCAGGGTACCACATGTACTACACCCGAGCTGTATCTAGGGCAAGATAACATAACGGAGCTCATTCGTCTTCAGGGAATCGTCACGAGACCCCTAGATCGTCAGGGTACCACATGTACTACAGCTGTATCTAGGGCAAGATAACATAACGGAGCTAGGGAATGACATCACGAGACACCCTGATCGTCAGGGTACCACATGTACTACACCCGGAGCTGTATCTAGGGCAGATAACATAACGGAGCTCATTCGTCTTCGGGAATCACGTCACGAGACATCCAAGATAGATCGTCTTCAGGGTACCACATGACACCTAGATCGTCAGTACTACACCCGGGTTGTATCTAGGGCAAGATAACATAACGGAGCTCATTCGTCTTCAGGGAATGACGTCACGAGACACCTAGATCGTCAGGGTACCACATGTACTACACCGGGTTGTATCTAGGGCAAGATAACATAACGGAGCTCATTCGTCTTCAGGAATTCAGGGAATCACGTCACGAGACACCTAGATCGTCAGGGTACCACATGTACTACACCCGTCAGGGTTGTATCTAGGGCAAGATAACATAACGGAGCTCATTCGTCTTCAGGGAATGACATCACGAGACACCTAGATCGTCAGGGTACCACATGTACTACACCCGGGTTGTATCTAGGGCAAGATAACATAACGGAGCTCATTCGATTTCAGGGAATCACGTCACGAGACACCTAGATCGTCAGGGTACCACATGTACTACACCCGGGTTGTATCTAGGGCAAGATAACATAACGGAGCTCATTCGTCTTCAGGGAATGACATCACGAGACACCTAGATCGTCAGGGTACCACATGTACTACACCCGGGTTGTATCTAGGGCAAGATAACATAACGGAGCTCATTCGATTTCAGGGAATCACGTCACGAGACACCTAGATCGTCAGGGTACCACATGTACTACACCCGGGTTGTATCTAGGGCAAGATAACATAACGGAGCTCATTCGTCTTCAGGGAATGACATCACGAGACACCTAGATCGTCAGGGTACCACATGTACTACACCCGAGCTGTATCTAGGGCAAGATAACATAACGGAGCTCATTCGTCTTCAGGGAATCACGTCACGAGACACCTAGATCGTCAGGGTACCACATGTACTACACCCGAGCTGTATCTAGGGCAAGATAACATAACGGAGCTCATTCGTCTTCAGGGAATGACATCACGAGACACCTAGATCGTCAGGGTACCACATGTACTACACCCGAGCTGTATCTAGGGCAAGATAACATAACGGAGCTCATTCGTCTTCAGGGAATCACGTCACGAGACACCTAGATCGTCAGGGTACCACATGTACTACACCCGAGCTGTATCTAGGGCAAGATAACATAACGGAGCTCATTCGTCTTCAGGGAATGACATCACGAGACACCTAGATCGTCAGGGTACCACATGTACTACACCCGAGCTGTATCTAGGGCAAGATAACATAACGGAGCTAATTCGTCTTCAGGGAATGACATCACGAGACACCTAGATCGTCAGGGTACCACATGTACTACACCCTTTGAGCTGTATCTCTAGGGCAAGATAACATAACGGAGCTCATTCGTCTTCAGGGAATCACGTCACGAGACACCTAGATCGTCAGGGTACCACATGTACTACACCCGGGTTGTATCTAGGGCAAGATAACATAACGGAGCTCATTCGTCTTCAGGAATGACGTCACGAGACACCCTAGATCGTCAGGGTACCACATGTACTACACCCGGGTTGTATCTAGGGCAAGATAACATAACGGAGCTCATTCGATTTCAGGGAATCACGTCACGAGACACCTAGATCGTCAGGGTACCACATGTACTACACCCGGGTTGTATCTAGGGCAAGATAACATAACGGAGCTCATTCGTCTTCAGGGAATGACGTCACGAGACACCTAGATCGTCAGGGTACCACATGTACTACACCCGGGTTGTATCTAGGGCAAGATAACATAACGGAGCTCATTCGATTTCAGGGAATCACGTCACGAGACACCTAGATCGTCAGGGTACCACATGTACTACACCCGGGTTGTATCTAGGGCAAGATAACATAACGGAGCTCATTCGTCTTCAGGGAATGACATCACGAGACACCTAGATCGTCAGGGTACCACATGTACTACACCGGGTTGTATCTAGGGCAAGATAACATAACGGAGCTCATTCGATTTCAGGGAATCACGTCACGAGACACCTAGATCGTCAGGGTACCACATGTACTACACCCGGGTTGTATCTAGGGCAAGATAACATAACGGAGCTCATTCGTCTTCAGGGAATGACATCACGAGACACCTAGATCGTCAGGGTACCACATGTACTACACCCGGGTTGTATCTAGGGCAAGATAACATAAAAGAGCACATTCGTCTTCAGTCTGATTTTGAAGTCCTTCACCTCGACTGGTTGCCATTTTGATCTGGAGGTTTTAAATATTTAAAAATGAACTTGAGATTATTTTTCATAATGATCTGGGGACTGATTTCGTTTTACACGTGACTGACACTTATAACATAAATATTCCGAAATTGGCTCATATTTCTTTACAACTCCAACGTTGACTGCAAATGCTTACTTACAAATGCTGCAAGAGTTTGCCATTAATGTCATACCCCCTATAAATCAGACGAGCAGGGTATTTTCAACAGGATGGTGCACCGCCTCATCTTGACCGTACTGGTCGCGCTTGGCTAGATCAACATTTCTCAAATCGTTGAATAGGTCGGGACGGACCGCTGGCATGGCCACCACACTTTCATGATCTGACACTCGGTGACTTCTGGTTATGGGGAATAATAAAGGATGGCAAAAAATCTAGATATATCGAAGAAATCAAGGACAGAATAAAAGAAATAATATCAAACATTCCCCGTGAAATGTGTGTGAAGGCGCTAAATTGCAATGTTTATCGTTGGTTTTGTGCATCAGTTATGCTGGTGGACTGGTGGCAAACTGAATAAATGATTCCTCTAATACTAGTGTTAACATAATTTTGACTCACCTTATATATATATATATATATATATATGAAGAAAAATATACGGAAAAAACAAACAAAAAATCCTAATATGCAATTATGCTGTTTTAATGTTAAGATGATGTCAACGTCGGACGTTTCGGTCATCTTCAGGACATATTCATAAAACATAATTAACATTAGACTATATTCAATTCAACATGAAAAGACGATGGACATAAGAGTCTTTTCATGTTGAATTGAATATAGTCTAATGTTAATTATGTTTTATGAATATGTCCTGAAGATGGTCTACTAGACTGAAACGTCCGACGTTGACATTATATTAACATTAAAACAGCATAATTGCATATTAGGATTTTTGTTTGTTTTTTTCCGTATATTTTTATTCATACTGTCGGATCTATATCCATATATTTGCTTACATACACACACACACACACACACACACACACATATATATATATATATATATATACACTTCTGGTTGTGTACACTGTTCTGTATATAAAACAAAAACACAAATATTTAATAAGATAAAAAGATCATACCCTTTTCGCATTTATCTCCCATCCGCCCTGATCGACAATAACATTTGCCTGTTCTTCGGTCGCAAGACGAACTGACGCAATCGCATTTCTGGCAATTCTCCCCATAATGGTTGAAAATTAAACACACTGAAAGATGAGAAAAGATGGAAGCAAATAACAAATCTTAGTGCTTCATGTTCACGTTAATTTGGCTGCAATTTGGCTGCAATTTGGCTCTTATAAACAAAATTCCTTTTCAAGATAAAATACATAAATAAATACCAAATAATCGCAAATTTTTTGCAAATTGTTTGTAAATTTTCTTGTTGAATCCAGAGAGGAGGCTTAGCGAGTAAATCTTGTATTATCTGAAGTCAAAAAATGATATCCCTGCAGAAACGTCCGGTTCACGGACACCATTCTTGCAGCTTGTATTAAAAATTATTAAGAATAAAAATGTGTGGGTTTTCCCCCTCTAATATCAAATGAATCTATCTATCTATCTATCTATCTATCTATCTATCTATCTATCTGTAACACCCTCGAACGGTTAGCTTTGGAGCGGGTAGAATGGAGATCAACGTGTTTTAGTGGACTCAACAGTTTTAAATCAGCTTGTCCGAATCGTCTTCAAGAAGCGAGAGCACGATCTAAAAGGTCAGCCAATCTAACAGTGATCACATCCCACAATCCTTACTCTTGCTTCATATGCGGCCTCCTTTGTAAATCACTAGCGGGTTTTAAGTGCCACTTAAGATTATCGCACAAAATTTCATAACTGAATCAATTAAGATGTCAGATCCTCATACATCGAAACCGACGGAAGAGTACATTATATATATATATATATATATATATATATATATATATAGTGTTGCATTGTGTCGTCTCTGGGTTCACACGTTACTGTATAAAACTGTATTAACGAAAAGGAACATTTTTTTTTTGTTATTCGTTTTATTAGGAGAGAATGATGGCAGCTTGGGTTCTAAGTGGTAGTGTGAAGAATGACGTCACAGAAACGCATGTCGCACGTTGGTTCAGCATCGCTCCGCGGGTGGTCTTAGCCGTTAGCAAATCTGGGTGTGGTAGGCGTATCGACGCTTCAGAATTCTTACGGACTTTTCTTGAATTCGTGCCATTTTGGACTTATATCCAGAACCCAGACAAAGACAATCCACCACTGTCAGAATATATAATGACATAATGATTCATTTATATATATATATATATATATATATATATATATATATATATATTATTTATTTAAAAAAAAATTATAACATAAATATGTTATAAAATCACTACAAAAATAGCCATTTTGTTTCAACATCCCGGTGTCTTATCAAGTGATGATGTTGAAGATAAAATAAATGGTTTTAAAAGTTTCAAATTAATTAACAATCCTTCGCAAGGGGAAAACGTTGTTACAAAAGCTAGATTGACCAATCCAAATACAAGTATAGGAAAATTCAAAAAGCTTGACAACAAAGTCATGTTATAATAGCTATTCAGATCTTTCAAATATGGGTAATATTAAAAAAGAATTTATTCTAACCAATAATTACTAAATTATATGATAAAATTTAATATTAAAATTAAAAACTACCAATTTCAAAATCCAAATTTAATCGCTATTAAGTTTACAACCATAACATTACTGAGGAGAAAAGAAGAAATACATGTTATTCAATTTATTTCTTCATTGAAATTACGTTAGACGCTAATGTCCTATCCGGTCCTCTGACATTATGTATACATTTTAATCCCAAGTGTGTGAATATATATATATATATATATATATATATATATATATATATTCATTTAATGAATTTTTATACATAAAGGGTGTGATGATTAAATTACCGCCATTTGATATTTTTAATTTTGCGCATGCGTTTTGCTTGTTTTGATTTTGTCGGCTGCACAGCATAGTAGACTCAGTTGAACACCTGTGAAAAAAAGAGCATACATGACGCAATTCACTCCACCAGAAACTTGGAAAAAGCATGTTGTACTTCTTGGCATTCGCACCGGAAGCTCCAGTACGAACATTTTAGATTGTTTGGGTGTCAATCTGAGGACAGTGCAGAGGGTTCGAATAGAGTTGGATGAGTCTAATGGTGATTACGAAGGTGCTTGGATTGATCACTAGTAATGGCGACGTTACGCCTCAATTCATTTTCCCACAAAGCCTCAGAAGCAACACGGAGGTTTGCTCAAATGCCTTGAGAAGGTAGTGCTGCTCTGGGTCAAAATGGTGGCATCTGGAAGACGCTATGTGTGGTAACACGACTCTGCACCATGCCATACAAGCAGGAGAACCCAGTCATAGCTGTCAATTTTTGCAACCACATCACCGCTTACATCTGGCCACTTAACTCCCCAGAATGCAACCTCCATGATTATTATGTGTGGGGCGCAGTTGTGCAAGAGACCAAGAAAACCTATTATAACACCGTTATTATTGCTTTGGAATAATCGTGATGTTTCGTAACTGGTGAAAATTGATGTGTACAAGTCAATAGTACTGACATCACTACTTTATGTGGTAGAATTTTTACTCTGCACCGCCGATACATCAACTTGATGCCTTCCAAAGGTGTTGTCTACGTGCGATCTGCAATTGAAAACTGTATGATCGCATTAGAAACAGTGAAGTCCTGACTAAATGCAACATGACAGACGATGAAGTCATCCTAATGAAAATCCAGCTGGGCACCTTTCTCGTATGAGCGACTTACAAAATAATTTCTCTTTGGTCAGCTTTGAACAAGCAGCTCAGTTGACAAGAAAATGACATATGGAGAAAAAGAAAGAAATTCTATTTTTATTTTTGTATTGTTTCATTGGTTACTCATGCTTCACACACACACACACACACATATATATATAATTATTTATTTAAAAATATGATTCCAACACGCTACATAAGAGTACTCATGTTTCAAAACAAGAGCCGAAAACTTCAATATTGTTGAAACTTGACTAATGCATGGAATAATAATACAACACAAAATGTACTTAGCACAAAATGTATTGAAACAAGAAAGTGTACACAATATTTACATATAGTCTTTTGTATATTCTTGGGAAGACCGTTCCTGGAGAATGTGTTGACTTAGTCGCAGTCGGGCAGAGTCTCTGGATTGGATCTCTTCTTCCTCACCCTCGTCTTCCCGGTACCAACCCATATTTATATGGTCGGTACTCACTATGTAAATTAGGTAGATCCTACCACAACAAATATAATTATTTGAATTAAATTGAATTAAAGTACTAAGCTCTGTTCCATCTTCAAGCGAAATTTTTTTTGGAATAACTTATTTTTGAAATTTACGCATTTTATAAGCATATTCATTATTGAAATCAAAATTTCTATGGTAACGGCTAGAGCAATTGTTAGATAACCCTTTATGAAGTCGTCAAAAAACAAATGTTAGTGATTTACGACAGTTTTTATATACACAAAACCCTTTCAGAAAAAAATAAAATAAATTAAAAAAATAAATAAATCTCCATAGACGCTCAACCAGATTAGGCAATGTCATCTTCCGCTTTAAATTTAGACACCCCAACCTTACCCTGACTTGACATCTGTGAATGTAACTGAGATATTGATACAAATTATTAACACCTTTTACGCCCCTTTTTCTTTAAACAATTGCTCTAGCCGTTACCATAGAAATTTTGATTTCAATTATGAATATGCTTATAAAACACGTAAATTTCAGAAATATGTTATTCAAAAAAAAAAAAAAAAAAATTTCGCTTGAAGATGGAACAGAGTTTAGTACTTTAATTCAATTTAATTCAAATAATTATATTGAAGTTTTCGGCTCTTGTTTTGAAATATGAGAACTCTTATATAGCGTGTTGGAATCATATTTTTAAATAAATAATTATATTTATGCTCTACTTTTGTATCGAGCACTATTTTTAAAAAATAATAACAAAAATACTAAAGAACTTTGGATTATTTACCTAACGAGTTCTTTCCTATTTTCTATATATTTTCACACACACACACACACACACACACACACACACACACACACACACACACACACACACACACACACACATATATATATATATATATATATATATACAGAGCAACCTCGGTTCTCGAACGTCTCAGATGTCGAAAAAATCGGTTTTCGAATAGAATATTCGAGATGAAAATGTATCGGTTATCAAGCAAAATTTCGATTCTCGAACAACATTGCCTAACCGAGTTAACCCGAACGGAACAATTTCTGAGTCGACCGCCATGTTGTATACATTCATGTGTTGTGGCATGCTTTTCATTTCCAGTTCTATTGTAGCTTCCCTTTTTTTTTCTTTTCATTAATCTTTCATCATGGCTCCAAAGAAAGCTAGCAGTGATACTGGTAAAGGAAGAAGAAAAGTTAAGAGAAGAACTATTGATGATATTTTCTCTCCCTACTCAGCTTAGTATGGCAAAATCAACGATCTATACCATTCTTATAAATAAAGAGATGATCATGTCTTTCCTTCCCTTTTCCAAACAATAACATTTCTTTCCTTCCTCTTCCAATTACGCCATAAACTCTCCTATTTACAGATACACTAAAATTAAAATGTTCGTCTATATTTTATCTGTTTAGTATTTAGTTTATTTTTTTTTCTTAGATTTAATGATTTCGATTAGTTTTGTGTATAAACGTGTGCAAAAAGTACTGTTGAGAAAGTTTAAATAAGCAATCATATTGGGACCAGGAACGAATTAATCCATTTTACATTGATTCTTATTGCAAAAATAGTTTCGGTTTTCGAACATTTCAGGTTACGAATTTACGAATGGGCGAATTAAATTTCACTGGTTAATCGTGCTTCACACACACACACACACTCTCTCTCTCTATTTCTCTCTCGCTCTCCCCCTATCTCGCTCTCTCTCTTGCTCTCCCCCTCTCTCTATCTCTCTTTATATATATATATATATATATATATATATATATATATATATGGATGTTCAGGTGACTCGATTAGACATGAGAAATAGGAGAGAAGACTTGGAATTATTGTGGATTTTGCGCAAATACAATTGGGAAAAGTGTAAATCGAACTCTCCTCCTCCAGCTATGGATTAAATAGTAAGATAGACTGTTTCTTTAGACTTGTCTGCCAAACGGTTTAGGAAACGTGCAAATCTGAATTGAAAAACTGAGTAGGCGCTGTTTGGTTATCTCCTAGTACAAAAAAACTGTGGATGATTGTGCATAAGGCTTTATCCCAATATTCAAATAATTCTTGTAGCGTAGTATGACTGTTCAGTTCTCTGAGCTGAATTGTGAGACTCTCGTACGTGTGTGAAACCTTTGATATCTTTCCATAAATGCTTAGCATTTACTTAATCTGCAACAGAAGATAATAATGGTAATTATTTTAACTGATAGATGAAAGATTTGAAAACTTACTTTTGCAGTCGAATCCTCCTGTGTTCTTTTTGCATCTTTTTCGATTGCATTTATTACCATAAAAACCCTCCGTGCAATTACAGTTTCCA